GTGCTCAAGGAAACACAAATAAGAAATCATACAATTGAGAGAGAATTAAGAGCTATGTTGAAATATAAGGAAATGTTAGTCTAAAGAGGAAAGTATTTGTGGGAATATTTGCGAATGCTTCTCAAAGAATTGATATTTGAACAGGATATCTTCAATTTAATGGGCAGAAAATGGGATAAGATGATATTCCCTTTGAAAGAAATGATATTGTTAAATTCACACAAGTGTGAAAATACATTTTTTTTTCAAGAATCTGAAAATTGCCCTGGCTAGTGTGGCTCAGTGGATTGAGTGCCAGCCCGTGAACCAAAGGGTCGCTGGTTTGATGCCCAGTCAGGGCACATGCCTGGCTTGCAGGCCAGGCCCCTAGTTGGGGGCACATGAGAGGCAACCACACACATCACTGTTTCTCTCCCTCTCTTCCTACCTTCCCCCTCTCTAAAAATGAATAGATAAATAAAATCTTTTTTTAAAGAAGAATCTGCAAATTGTCCTGTATTGCTGAAATACTAGCCTCAAGGGGAATATGTGGGGTAGGAGATGGTGGACTGTTGCTGGGTATCAAACAGGAGGTCCTTGCATGCTGTGCTGTAGAGTTCATCTTGATTCTGTGGGCAGAAGGAAGGCATTCAAGGAGAATTATTTCTGTTCCTTATTATGTCAGATTTAAGAAGGAGATGGGAAGGTAGAAGGGAAAGAGAAAGACACCAAGAGAAAGATAAAGGTTCAGCAAGTATTTATTGCACACGCAATGCATTCTATTGAGTGCTACTAATTCAGCAGAAGGAAAAACAAAGTCTTTGCTTTCATGTTGCTAACACTCTAGTAAAGAGGGCAAGCAACAAACCATTCAACAATCAGGGGTTCAGTAGTATCAAGGAAAAAAGTGTTTAAACAGGGTAAAGAGAGGGGAAGTGATGGGGAGGGGTGTAGAATTGAAATTTGATTACAGACCTAAAAACAGTGAGGTATGGAGCTGTGCAGACGTCTGGGGAACGAACGTGCACGATGGAGCCATAGCCTGTGCAGAGGCCTCACAGAGGACTGAGCCTGGAGCATCCGAGAAACAGCACGAAGGTTCCGTCTGGCTTGTGGGGCTTTATTTTTTCACTTTTAATTGTATATATTTTATTATTTTAAATTCTGTAAATCTTTAAAACAAGTACATATTTGAAGATTAATATTCAACTGGTCTAATTATTTTAATATTCTTCCTAAAGAACATTTGTAATTGATACTCTAATTCAGGTTAAATGAATTACTCAGTTTCATCTTTTGAAGTGTTTTCCAAACAGGACTTTGCTCGATGATGTAGGTTTTAGCTCTTATCATTCTTTAGCAGATGTGATCTATGTATGGTTTGGAGGTGATCTTAGCTATAGTGCACAGAAGATTAGTAGCATTTACTACTTGTGTGGCACAACTACTTGTGTTGTGTAATGGAAGTGTCTCTAAGTTGCTACCCAGGACCTCTTGCTGAATCCTAAACATGAATTTTCATTGCTTAGACCCATGGAGGGCAGCAGACAGAAACAAAAAAACTTTTTGTGAATGTTAATATACTTCCCAATTTTGCCTAGAAATATTTCTTCAGCTGATACAAAGCACTCTTTAGCATCTATCAATAAAATGTAACTCCAGTAAGAGAAAATATATTTGATCCATTTTCCACTAAATCTGAATACCAAACCTCGTGGCCTCAATTTTCTAGGGTAATTGTAACTTCACAGCTCTTAGGACATGAGCTAATAATAGGGGTGGTTGTCCTGGCTTACGGTTTTAAATGATCACCCTTGCAGCTGGGTGAACAATAGACTGTATAACCTTGTATGTATTTCACTTCCTGTGTGTGGGCTTATATGTAGCAATAATTCCTGGGACTGGGATTGCTGGGTCACAGAACAAATGTATTTCTGATTTTGATAGATATTGGGAAATTTCTACCCATCCTCCACAGCTATCAGCCACGTTTGAGAGGCCTGTTTCTTTATAGCCTCACCAACACGAAGAGTGAAGCTTCCAGGAGGTGGACGTTTTTTTCATTGGTCAGAAGCCCCCAAATCAGATTGGTGGTGTTGCATCCTTCTGGGCACTCTTACTATCTATTCACCTCCACTTTCTAGTTTCCACCCTTATTCTGTTGCTTGTCACCCTATCCCTCACCTTGCCCTGTACTTTTTTTTTCGCCATGGTTTTTCTATCTATTCTTATTTGTTTCTTTGTTTGTTTGTTTGTTTTCCATGTGAATTTTTCAGTCAGCTTCCCTGTTTGGGTGAAGGGGTTAGTTTTATTGGCATAACTATGAAGTTAGATCTTACTGTCTTTAAACATAATGTCTTTATATTCATTCCAGTTACTTTTGTTCATTCATTAGTATTTTAACATTTTCTTCATATCAATTCTGAACATTTCTAAGTTTAACCTTTGTTTTCATAGATATAATAGAAGAAAAGACCCTGTTACATTTTATATGCTGCTACCTACGGAATTATCTTGTTTGTAGTAGTTTTTCAGTTGAGTCTCTAGTTACTTGCCAGTATACAGTTATATTGGCTTCAAATAGTGATAAACTCCTAAATTGTATATGTTTGTCCTTTCTTGCCTCTTCTGTTGCATTGTTATAGGCAGTGGTGTTGTGCGCATCCCTGTCTTGTTTCTGATCTTAGGAAGGAAGGCTCATGTGTTTCCCTAAAGTACTTGCTGCGTTAGGTGTGCACGTGCCCATGCATGCACGCACACACATCATGTTAACAAAATGCACAACTGCTCCTGTTTTCTTCGGTGTTGTTTCCTTATCAAGAATAGGAGTGGAATTTTGTCAAATACTTCTTTAGTATATATGGAGAGATAATATGGTTTTTATCTTTGGTTTAGTAATATACTATATCACCTTTGTGCATCCTGAAATGTTTTTATTAGGTATAAATATATTTATACCTAATGTTTTGTAAAAGAGGCCTTAATTTTATTCACTGCTTCTCTTCTGTTTAACTTGTCTGATTATTACACAGTGTTCTGTTGCATGTCTGCAACTGTTGTCATAAGTGGAACTCTGTTGTTGTTTAAAGGTTTAGTAAAATTAAGCTGAGAATTTGGCCAATGGACTGAAGATTCCCTTCAGCATGGTAAAAGAGGTGGGGCTAAATCTGAGCTGACGTTTTAATGATTCATTTGAAAGTTTTCTTACCATTTTTTATTTTGCCCTCAAATAATGGTGAAAGAAGGATTATGGTATGTATACCAGAAAGTAAAGCGTTTTGCCAAGACCCATCATAATTAAAATGCCAAGGTTAAAGATAAAGAGAGAATCTTAAAAGCAGCAAAAGAAAAGCAGAGAGTTACCTACAAAGGAGTTCCCATAAGACTATCAGCTGATTTCTCAAAAGAAACTTTGCAGAATAGAAAGGACTGGCAAGAAGTATTCAAAATCATGAAAAGGAAGGACCTACAACCTAGATTACTCTATCCAGTAAAGCTGTCATTTAGAATGGAAGGGCAGATAAAGTGCTTCCCAGACAAGGTAAAGCTAAAGGAATGTATCATCACTAAGCTCTTACTATATGAAATGTTAAAGAGACTTATTTAAGAAAAAGAAGATAAAAAATATGAACACTAAAATGACAACAAACTCACAACTATCAATTACTGAATCTGAAAAAAAACAAACTAAGCAAACAACTAGAACAGGAACAGAACCACAGAAATGGAGATCACATGGAGGGTTATCAGTGGGGAGAGGGAGGGAAAGGTACAGGGATTAAGGAGCATAGTTCGTAGGTACAAAATAGACAGGAGGATGCTAAGAATAGTACAGGAAATGGAGAAGCCAAAGAACTTACATGCATGACCCATGGACATAAACTGAGGGGGAAATTGTTGGAGGGAAGGGGGGTACTGAGTGGAGGAGGGCAAAGGTGGAAAAATTGGAATGACTATAATAGCATGATCAATAAAATATACTTAGAGAAAAAAAATAAAATGTTTTGGTTAATTAATCCTTCTCAGTGGATTCTAGTTAAAGGTTTCAAAGCAACACCATAAAGTGAACATCGTTTCCTATACTTACTTCATCTCTCTTGTCCTCAGAGTTCCCTTTACAGAGCGGAGCTGTCCAGTAGGCTAGCCACTGGCCCCTGTGCCTGTCGAGTGCTTGGAATGTGCTAGTGGTGTGCTATAAGTATCAAATACACACCGATTTTGAAAGGTTTATATGAAAAATAGAAAATATCTCATATAATTTACATTCACTATTTATAGAAATAATATTTTGGTTATTTGGGGATAGATAAAATATGGCACTAAGATTAATTTCACCTTATTCCACTTTTTAAAAGTTGTTCCTAGCAAGTTTAAATTGCATACATGACTTACATTATATTTTTATTGGATTCACTTGAATAGAGCCAGTAAGTGTGTGTATACTTACACATACTACAGTGATTTTCATAATTTAAAAAAGATGAAATTAAATAAGCTACAGTTGTATCCTCTCTTGTCACCTGGTTTCTTCTTGTGGGAATAAAGTTTGGTGAGTAATCTAATCATACTCCTTTATGATGGGTTGCCTCCTCTCTCATTTTTCTATTTAACTGTTTACAAAAGAATGCAGTTCCTTCATTATGCCTTTGACATTTTCACATAAGTTAACGGCAACAGGATTCTTCTATTTTAGAATATAGCACTTAAGAACTGTTGTGAATAAGATAGGAAGTTAGACATCCACATTTCTAATTTTGCTTTATTCTATAAATATACTTTCGTAGAAGTTCCCTCGCTGAAAATAAAATTTGCTTCAGCATTTAAAAAAAAATTTTTCCCCTTAGCCTAAAAAAAGGCAGTTCTGACCCCCTTAGTTCTTTTTAGGTAGGTTCAGCAGTCTCTTGGTCCTGTCTTGTTGCAGCAACCTGAGTGTTTTGAATAGTTTACATTTTAACTCTTTAAAAACAAAAACAAATTACTCACATTGCCTTTTTGTTCTTGATTTTTGTTGCATTAATTAGGAAGACTACATCACAAATGACATTGGAATATCAACTTGGAAGGAGCAGACTTTTCTCTCCCATGGTGTCTTATTAGCAAAGAGCTGCCAGGCAGCAATGGAATTAGCAAAGCATGATGCTGAGGTTCAGGACATGGCATTCCAGTATGGGAAGCACATGGCCATGAGTCATAAGGTATTTGCACGCCCTTTCTCCTTTTCAGTTCTTAAGCAGCTAAAATGATGCATAAAAAACCTTTGGTTACTTAATAATCTTCTATGTTTAAAAATATGTTTATTGTTTATTTAAAAATCTATAGACAGTGGTTATAAAAAGTATGATTGGTGAATACTGTGTAACTTTGATAGAAGGCTACAGCTTACTTTAACCTTATTTGTGATGTTCGTCTTTTCTTCCCACCTGAAAGGGTTTTAGAAAGAACTCTTGCAATTATTAAATAACATGTAATGTTGCCATTTATAGAATGGAAGAGTATTTTCATTTTTGTTACAGTTCACTTATAGTTCTTTATGTAAAACAAATTGTGGAAAGTTAATAAAATTTGGAAATATACTGAATAAAATTGAAAGCTTTAATTCTAACAACTGATTCTTTTGAATGGGCATGTTAAAATATAAAATATCCCAAGATTAACTGTTGTATTGTTGTCTCTATGTATATATAATTGTAAAATCCCATTGTATATGTATGTATGTATGTGTTTATATATACATATATGTGTATACATATACACATAGGTGTATATGTATACACCTAAGGTAACACCTTAGGTGTTACCTTAATAGCTCAGAAGAGGGGAAAATATATACATATCTATGTAATATCTCCAGGTAATTTTTTTACATATTAAATCTTAGGTTAGTTTACTAAGCAACTACATTTATTACATCTTTTTGTAAATCCTTACCTTAAATGTAAAGTAAAATAGAGGCTTCTGCCAAATAAAAAGAAATGTGTTAGGGGAAAATGATTTTAAAGATTATCGATAATTATATAAACTATTAGTTGGCTTATTAAAGTATATCTGAAACCTGTATTCCTTAAGCTTCACTTTTCACTATATTATCTAATGCTTTCTGTATATGACTAAAGCATACTAGTATATATGCATTTCTTGATTTAACTCTTTTGACTACATCTTCTAGATAAATTCTGATCTCCAGCCTTTTATTAAAGAAAAGACCGGTGACTCCATGACTTTTAACCTGAACTCAGCTCCTGTAGTCTTACATCAGGAGTTTCTTGGAAGAGATTTGTGGATTAAGCAGATTGGAGAGGTAAATGAAATTACTCCTATTTTAGATACCGATTGCATTAGTTGATTTTAGAACACAGTTTGTATTTTATGATAATCTAAGGCATCAACCATATATAGATCAGCCATGTTCAAGGTTATTCATATAAGAGGTAAAAGTCTTACCTTATAACCTATACTTTAAGATGTAAAATTTTAGCTTAAAGTTAGAAACTGTGAACTTGCGGTCAACATTGGAGGAGTAGGTAGACACATTTCACCTACTTATACAAACATAGAAAAAATTATAACCAGATCTTAAAAATAATAACACATAGAACCTTCAGAAAATTGAGATGTCTGGAAGTCCAACAGCCAAGAATTTGAAGAAGACACATTTATCCAGACAGGTAGAAAGGGTGGAGTCACAAGGATAGGTGGTGAGGTGGTACAGTGCGAAAAGGTGCAAGTGGCAGTGGGTGAACAGTTGAGAGGGTTACCTTTAGGAGCACATAATCCCAGCCCTAGGCCAGACTACACAGCCCAGGGTTCCAGGACCAGGAAGACAGATCCCCATTACTTCTGGCTGTAAAAACCAAGGAGGGGGTTGGGGCGGTGGAACAACTGCTGGATTTTTGCAACTTAAAGGGCCAGCTCGGTATTAGAACCCACGCAAACCTACCCACTCTGGGATTCAACATCAGGGCAGCAGCAAATAGGGTACTCGTGAGTGCACATGAGAAGGGGATGAAGTGACTGAAAACAGAGCAAACTTCAGGCAAACTGCCAGAAGCGAGGCAACAGCATTGTCCCCTCTTAGAACCCTCCTCACACAGCCACAAAGTGGTGAAGCGGGTTGCCCCACCCTGGCAATTAGCTAAGACTCCTCCCCACTCAACTTACAGGTGCCTTTTCTACACAGGCCATGTTACTACAGCAAGAAATAAAAACTGTTCTACCTAATACACAGGAGGCTGCTAAATTGAGGAGACAAAGAATGGCCCAAATGAAAGAACAGAAAAAGAACTAAGTGAAATGGAGATTGCCAGTCTGTCAGATGCACAGCTCAAAACACTGGTTATCAGGATGCTCAGAGAATTCCCTGAGTATAGCAAAATAACAAAGAAAGAAATGAAGGTCACACTAAGAGAAATAAAGAATAAGTCACAGGAAACCAAGAGAGAAAGGAAGGAAGCTGGGATACAAACCAACAATTTGGAATATAAGGAAGAGATAAACATTCAACTAGAACAAAAATAAGAAACAAGAATTCAAAATAACGAGGATAGACTGAGGAACTTCTGGGACATCTCCAAACATGCCAACATCTGAATCATGGGGCGCCAAAAGGAGAAGAAAAAGAGCAAGAAATTGAAAACTTATTTGAAAAAACAGTGAAAGAAAACTTTCCTAATTTGGAGAATGAACTAGACACACAAGTTCAAGAAGTACAGAGTCCCAAACCAATTGGGCCCAAAGAGGACCACACCAAGACACATCATAATAAAAATGCCAAAGGTTAAAGATAAAGAGAGATCCTTAATAGCAGCCAGAGAAAACCAAATAGTTACCTACAAAGGAGTTCCAATAAGACAGTCAGCTGATTTCTCAAAAGAAACTTTGCAGGCAAGAAGGGGCTGGCAAGAAGTATTCAAAGTCATGAAAGGCAAGGACTTACAACCTAGATTATTCCATCCAGCAAAGCTATCATTTAGAATGGGAGGGCAGATAAAGTGCTTCCCAGAGAAGGTAAAGATAAAGGAGTTCATCACCACCAAGGCATTATTACAGGAAATGCTAAAGGGACGTATTTAAGAAAAAGGATAGCAAAACTATGAATGTTAAAAAAGGCAATTTCACAACTATCAACAACTGAATCTTACCAAAAAAATAAGCAAACGACTAGAACAGGAACAGAATCGTAGGTATGGAGATCATTTGGAGGGTTATCATCAGTGGGGAGGAAGACGGAGAGAATGGGGAAATGGTTCAGGGATTAAGAAACATAATCGGTAGGATCGAAATAGACAAGGAGAAGTTAAGAATAGCATAGGAAATGGGGAAGCCAGACCCATGGACATGAGCTAAAGGGTGGGGGTTACTAGAGGGAAGGGGGTACCAAGCAGAGGGGGTTAATGGGGGGAAAACTGGGACAACTGTAATAGCATAATCAATAAAATATACTTTAAAAAAGGTTAGAAACTGCAATACTGTGTTTTGTTTTTATATGAGTTCTTCAAATACTGCAACACAAATCTACTACCTATGGTGCATACTAATTAACTAAGGATTTTTTTCCCTAAAGACTTTCAAAAATTGGGCTATGATAATAGTACCACCCTTTAACTGACGGCAATTTTCCATCTGTAGACTAGCTCAAGCTGCAGAATTCCAGGAGGTCTGTCTATCAGCGCATTGGGTTATATTTTAACAACTAGAACAGGAACAAATCACAGAATTGGAGATCACATGGAGGGTTATCAGTGGGGAGAGGGAAGGGGGAGAATGGGGGCAGAGTATAGGGAGTAGGAAGCATAATTGGTAGGCATAAAATAGGCAGGGGGAGGTTAGGAATAGTATAGAAAATAGAAAAGCCAAAGAAATTATATGTAAAACCTATGGACATGATCTAATACTGGGTAGTGGTGGGGGGGGTGCTGGAGGGTGGGGAGTGCAGGGCAGAGGGGGGGATAAAAGGGAGAAAAAAATTGATAACTGCAATAGCATAATCAAAAAATATACTTAAAAAGTAAACTTGAATTCTGAATACTCAAGTTCTGAGGCATTATGGTAGGAGGAAAACAACATGGCTAAATGGGAGAGGTACAAGGGCTTCAGTAGACTAAATTTCCCACTTTTGGAGGCAGGAAGCAGTTGTCGGTGACAAAAGGAAACTTTTCAGAGTTTTGTATCCAGAAACTCTGGTACAAAATTCTTGCCCTTTTACCCAAAGCTTCATGGAATTCATTTAGCTTCATGGTTCTGACCCATTGAATTGAACTGGAATGGACATGGGGATCCAGGCCGTCTGAGAGTGGGGGCAGCCACTGTGTGTACAACAGGGAAATCCTGAGTGATAATCTGTACTCAGAAAGATAAGACCCTTGCTCTTCTACCCCTCCTCCCTTATTAGCTCTCAAAATGCTATCAGCCATCTTAAAATCCCTCAAATTCACCAGGTAGAAAACCACAGAATCCCTTTCTGGGGAAACTCAAACCCAGGCAAAAAGACCTACAAGTGTGGAGGAGTGAGGCTCCCCCAGTAAACATGCCTTCTTCTTGACCAGCCCTCCGTCAGGGAGGACCACCAGGTGGCAAGCCTCAAAGTATCCAAACGCAGTGCGACGACAGGGACTAGAAGACCACTGGGCATTTGGGTGAAGCCTCTGCCATAAAGAGTGGGTCAAAAGCAAACAGATAAAAGAGGGAACTTAGAAGAAATAGTGCAATGGAAAAAAAGACATTTTTCAAAAGTACTGTAATATACTCAGGGACATAAGATGTTAAGTCCATGAAATAAGAGCAGGTGATATATTTATAAAAGGACAATCCAGGAATTACAAATCAGAATTATAAAATATAAAAATATGAAAGCAGAATTTTTAAAAATGGAAGATATAAATGAGAACATATTCCAGAAATTTGTATGAAAGATAATAGAAAAGATAAGAAAATTAGAAGACCAATGCAAAAGATCCTGTATCTATTATGAATCCCAGAAAGAGAATAGTAAAGTACAGGTGAGAAAATTAACAATGAATTTTTTTAAAGAAAAGAAAAATTATAAGAATTGAAGGATCCAAGTCTCCAGCTTGAAATGGTGCCTAAATAATGAACTTTAAAGGACCCACACAGAGCCCTGGCCAGTGTGGCTCAGTTGGTTGGGTGTTGTCCTACGAACCAAAAGGTTGCTGGTTCAAATCCAGGTCAGGGTACATGCCTGGGTTGCAGGCTTGGTTCCAAGTCAGGGCACATACAGAATGTGGCTGATCGATATTTCTCTCTCACTTCAGTGTTTCACTCCCTCTCGTTCTCCTTCCCCTCCCCTCTCTCCTAAATAAAAAATAAAATTAAAAAAGACCCACACCAAATCACATCATTATCAGATTTTGAAACAGTGGGGATAAAGAAGAGCTCCTAATACTTACAGAAAGAAAAAGAAAACCCTGCCTGCAAAGGATTGGGAATCGGAATGGCCTTAGTAGTGGCAATGAAAGGTTCAAGACAATGGAATTTACTTCAACATTTCAAGAGAAAATTGTTTCCAACTCAGAATTTTATGCCAGTCATGTTATCAAGTGTAATGTTAAATAAAGTCCATTTAAAACAGATAAATAAGGTCTCAAAAAATCTTCCCTTCCAAGCATCTTTTTTCAAAGAGCAAGTGAAGTATTCTGTCAAGGCAAGAGAGAAACCAAGCAAGAAAAGCAAGACAGGGAACTTAGGAAATAGGAGATCAGACAGATGTGTAAGGCAAAGGGAAGAATAATAAACTACGACAGTATTGCCAGCAGTAGGAGATTTGCCATGTGCCAAGAACGGTTCTAATGAGAAACTTGGGGCACAGAGACATTAACTGACTTGTGCCCAGCAAGCCCATGGTAGAGCCCGGATTCCAACCTGGGTGGCCCAGCGTCTTTCAGTAACGCGCTACACTGTTTCTCGTCCAAGCAAGTCCTAGGCTGATGGCTATGCATCCAGTCTAGGTTGGGACAAGAGGACAGAGATCTCCAGGAGAACTACCTCCAAGGGAAAAAAATGGTATTGGTTACCACCTAATGAACTTGACTATACTGAGAATTTAGGGACAAATTAATGAAAGGCACATAGAAAAGTGAGTGTTCTTGTTACCATTACTGCAAAACAAATTGCGTCAAAACTTACCTGCTTCAAATCATCATTTTAATATTTTCCTGGATTCTGTGGGTCAGGAATTTTGACAGTGCACAGAGGGGATGACTGCTCCATGACTTCTGGGGCCTCAGCTAGAAAGGCCTGGTGGCTGGAAGTGACTCAATAATGCGGGGTCCTGGAGTCATTTGGAGGCTCCACTCACACCTGGCACCTGGGCTGGAATTCCAAGAAAACCAGGCTGCTGACCAGCCAGAGTGCTGACACAGGGCCCCTCCATGTAGCTGGCTTTCTCAGGGCATGGCAGTGTCAGAGTAGTCAGACTTCTTACTTGCCAGATCAGAACTTCAAACACAAGTGATTCAGCCAACAAAAGAGACTTCATCATATCTTATGACCAACCTTCCAAGTCAAACAGTCGTTTCCATGGTCTCCTGTCAAATCAAGGGGGGGACTGTAACCTCATCTATCAATGGGAAGACTTTCCAAGAACTTAGGACCCACATCTTAAGACAGCCACACTAAACATGCAGGATAAAATGAGGCAATTATGAGCTATAGTGAAAGAATTTTCATGTATAAGAAAAGAAATGTAATCAGCACTCTACATGGCCTAGAAAAGAATACTTATGTAGTATAAAATGAAAATATCATATATTAATTTAAACCCAAAAAATGTAATGCAGAGAGGCTAGGAAAAAAGGATGTATTTTGGTCATATAAGAAATATAATTATTTGGAAAAAAAAGAAATGTAATTGTTTTTAAATATTTTAGATTTTTTTCTATTTTTAGTATATATTTTTTATTGTGCTATTACAGTTGTCCCATTTTTTTCTTTCCTTTTCCCCTCCATCCTGTACCCCCTCCCACCATCATTCTTCTGCCTTAGTTCATGTCCCTGGGTCATACATGTAAGTTCTTTGCCTTCTCTATTTCCCATACTGTTCTTAACCTTCCCCTGTCTATTTTGTACCTACCATTTATGCTTCTTAATCTCTGTAACTTTCCTCCCATTATTCCCCCTCCCCCTCCCCACTGCTAACCAGAAAATTCAATTTTCTGGCAGTTCTGGTTATTTTTTGTTTTTAAACTTGTTGTCCTTCTTTTGGTTGTGCAAGGAGGCAAAGTGTATCTACGTATACCTCCATCTTGGCTGGAAGTCTGTTTTTCTTTATCAATATTGTTTTGGCTATTTGGGGTCAACTTAGATTCTGTTTCTTTCATGGTAGGATCAATAGATTATATCTAAAATTTAATAATCATGGCAAAATAATGTGGGAAGATTAACAGCAGAAAAAATAGTTAAAGAGTGGGACATGGAACAGACGTGGTCTGGAGAGTGCTGCGATGTGTTGTTAAAAGTCTTGTGTTATTTGGCTTTTTAAGTAATGTACCTATATTTGGTTTTCTTTTAAAACTTTTAGTTTAAAATTTTATATGCCTTACTACAGTAGTTTTAGTTCTAGTCATTTATACCAAGAAAAATATCAAAGATGTGGGCAGACTTACATGTTAAAATGTGTAGTAAAATACTAATTCTAAAAGAAAGAAAAAAAATTGATCCATTTCAATATGGAAAATGATTAAATGAGGTATTATACAATGAAACATCACACAACTACAAATATTGTATTACTAGGGTGTATTTGTATGTTTTTCAACAGCCGAACTGAAAATGTATGTACAAATGGTGTTAATAACTCTAATTGGATTACATTGGAGTACATTGCAGCTTTACATTTTGGTTGGAAATCCACAGCTACAAACTCTTTCTACCAGCTATTTACATGTATGCATGCACATGTAAGAATAGCATACATATGAATTTTAAAGAAGCTTCACAGAAAAGGGACATATTTGACTCTCAGTTTCTGTGCAAGTATACTACATTATAACTATAGACAACATGCGAGTCCAGGATTTCCTAAACAGCTGGTGAAATATTCCCAAGTCATTATCCCCAACTTGATTTAGAGTCAAAGGGATATCCTTTCTAAATCATCTATGTGTAACCACTGACTTTATGCCCTTCTTATATCTACATATCTGAGTCATAAACAGGGTGACTGATGAACAGAAGATGAATTCATCTAAAGCAAATAAATGTTAGTTTCTGTCATGCATATGACAACATTTTTCAGATTAAAGAGTCCTAATGAGTTTATTTTAATCATCTAATTATAATATTCATTTTATATAAAGCTCTAAAGATAATGATCTTGCT